TGGTTAAATTAACGGCGATGGATGGTCTCAGGTCTGGCTGATGTGGACGGATAAGACCAACGAGAAGCAGGACAAGAGCATCCGCCAGCTGGCCCAGGAAGCCAGACAAGGAAACGCTCACGATGAAAACGTCCTCACCTACTACAGGTAGAGCTCAGCGTAGAAATCCTTTCCAGACGTCACCAGCAGAGCCGCGGTGAACCTCGCCGTCTCCGCAGGTACCAGCTGAAGCTGTTTGCTCGGATGTGTCTGGACCGGCAGTACCTGGCCATAGACGAGATATCCAAGCAGCTGGACGTGGAGCTCATCTTCCTCTGCATGATGGACGAGACGCTGCCCTTTGACCTCCGGGCTTCTTTCTGCCGCCTCATGCTGCACGCACACGTCGACCGAGACCCTCAGGAACTCGTGACGCCGGTGAAGTTCGCCCGACTCTGGACCGAGATCCCGACCTCCATCACCATCAAGGAGTCAGTAGATCTTGACGTTTAAATCCGGATGATCTTATAAACTCAGTTGTTGATCTTCAGTCTCTGGTTTCAGTTATGATTCCAACCTGGACGACAGCAGAGACAACAAGAAGAACCGTTTTGCGAACACCATGGTGTTCATGGAGGAGTACCTGAACAACGTCCTGAACGATGAGCTTCCGTTCCACAACGAGGAAAAAAAAAAACTCACCTACGAGGTTTTTCTCTCCTCTTCCCGTTGCTTGGGCGATCAGAGTCCACCCGGCCGCTGTCTCTCTTACCCGGTCTGTCCTCCCTCTTCATGCAGGTGGTGAGTTTAGCCAGACATTTGATCTACTTTGGTTTCTACAGTTCTTTGAGCTGCTCAGACTCACCAGGACTCTGCTGGGCATCATTGACTGCAAACCCAACCCGACACACACCGGCATCCCGTTTCAGGAGGAAAGCTCAGGTACCACCCTCTGGTTCTGATGGACCCGTTGGAGACAGATGGACTTTGTTAGAGACAGATGGACCTGTTAGAGACAGATGGACCCTGTTAGAGACAGATGGACTTTGTTAGGGACAGATGGACCCGTTAGAGACAGATGGACCCGTTGGAGACAGATGGACCTGTTGGGGACAGATGGACCCGTTAGAGACAGATAGACCCTGTTGGGGACAGATGGACCCTGTTAGAGACAGATGGACTTTGTTAGGGACAGATGGACCCGTTGGAGACAGATGGACCCTGTTGGGGACAGATGGACCCGTTAGAGACAGATGGACCCTGTTGGGGACAGATGGACCCGTTAGAGACAGATGGACCCTGTTGGGGACAGATGGACCCGTTAGAGACAGATGGACCCTGTTAGAGACAGATGGACCCTGTTGGGCACAGATGGACCCGTTAGAGACAGATGGACCCTGTTGGGGACAGATGGACCCTGTTGGGGACAGATGGACCCTGTTAGAGACAGATGGACCCTGTTGGGGACAGATGGACCCTGTTGGGGACAGATGGACCCGTTAGAGACAGATGGACCCGTTAGAGACAGATGGACCCCGTTGGGACATCTGTAGACCTCTGCTAAAGGAAATATTGCTGTCGGTTCCTCAGCAGTATTTAGAGCTGGTTGTGGTTTGTTTCCTCAGGGAGAAACGTGAGGCGCACCATCCATGGGATGGGCCAGATGATGTCCACCATGGTCTCAACCGGAGGCAGTCCACGTTCAGCGGCGCCGGGCCGAGGGGGGCCGGGTTCGTGCTGGAAGGACAGAGAGGCAGCAAGGATTCCATCGACAATCTGGATCTAACGGTGATGGACACCAAGCTGAAGATCCTGGAGATTTTACAGGTCAGGAAATGATTTATTTAAATGATTCATTCACTTCAGTTCACTAATGATGAGCAGCGTTTACAATCTGCACCAACACAGTGAAAATTAGTCAGTGTAGTAATTATATATACAAGTCATGTGTCTAGTTACAATTTTATTTAGTTTTTACATACAAAAGTCTCAAGGTGGAACCTTTGCATTTGTGTGTTTCTGGTAAGCCGGTAAATCTGACGCACACGCTACATCCGCTAACATGGCGATAGCAGCGACTCCTCTGGGCGAAACGATCTGCTGCTGGAAAACACTTGCTGTGTGGTGACAGGAGTTAGCCTGTTAGCAAAGCTTGTTAGCCTAAAATAGCATCTCAATGCTAAACATGTAGCAGCTAATGCTAATGTCACATTCTCCATTTCTAAAGAATCTCCAGGAACCATCAGAGAAACTCTGGAAAGATGAATTTTCCTCCAATTTCATTATTGAAGATCCTGAAAATGAAACTATAAATAAATTTCAGTAAATAAACAAGTTCAGACGTCGTTTATTCAACAATTTAGCAGCAAAAAGTGGTTTTGATTTGAAAATGTTGCCTAATTTATTGATATATAGTTTTAGATTAAATTATATTAATTAATTACAGAACCTGACATTTTAGGTCCACCACCAGTCATATTATTCATAATATTAATATTATGCATAATATTCATATTATCCATAATATTCATATTATCCATAATATTCATATTATCCATAATATTCATATCCATAATATTAATATTATCCATAATATTAATATTATCCATAATATTAATATTATCCATAATATTCATATTATCCATAATATTAACATTGTTCATATTGTTCACATTAGTAACTGTAACTCCAAAACATGGTCTCCCTCAGTTCATCCTGAACGTGCGGCTGGACTACCGTCTGTCCTTTCTGCTGTCCGTCTTCAAGAAGGAGTTCCTGGACGTTTATCCCATGGCTGAAGCTGACGCCACCACCAACGTGGAACAAGCAGGTGAGAGTTTGAAAGACTTTGTTCAAATGTTGGAGACGTTTGACGGCTTCTCCTCCTTCAGCCACCGTCAACCTGCAGCAGATCGGCGACCAGGCGGAGGCCATGTTTGGAGTCGGGTAGGTGTGGTCGGCCATGTTGGTTGCTGCTTCTGATGCGGCTGGCTGAGGAGTTGCGTCTTGCAGGAAGATGAACAGCGTCCTGGAAGTGGACGACGAAGGAGGCCGGATGTTCCTGCGGGTCCTGATCCATCTGACGATGCACAACTACGCCCCTCTGGTGTCCGGAGCGCTGCTGCTCTTCAGGCACTTCAGCCAGAGGCAGGAAGTGCTGGACACCTTCAAACAGGTGAGAGCAGGAAAACACACCGCTGATTAAATCTGGATTAAATCTGGATTAAATCTGGACTAAATCTGGATTAAATCTGGACTAAATCTGGATTAAATCTGGACTCTGAGGTGGAAAGAGAATAAAAATGAGAACATTTTACCTCAAATTGCTTTTAATTAAAAGAGAACAAAGAATAAATTTTATTTTTATTTTATTCATCAGATAGGATTTTAAGTGTAAAATATTTTACCCAAGTTTTTTAAGCAACTTAAATATATAAAACTACAGACACACAAGTTGTTTATTATTATTATCAGCTGAAAGAAAATCATAAAATGTAAAAAAGCAAATTTTGAGTAATTTTGGTTCATTTAATTGTTTGAACCAAGCAGAAAATACTTTTTTCACTTTTCAGCTTTTCTAAACTTAAATACTGTCAGATTTAAATAAATCTGACAGTTGGGGACAGAACTGTCCCAAGTTCTGTCCCCAACTTTTTACAAGTTTTTACAAACTTGTAAAAAGTTTTTTTGTTTATTTTGTTTTTAAGTTTATTTAATAAAAACTCATTTCCATCCAAGAAACAAAAAGTAAAGGCCCAGCAGGAAATCGTAATTTAGAGTCACAGATATAAAATCATGATTATGATTCACTGGATCAAACCTCTTTAGAGAAACAAGTGACTTGTCTCTATTCTCCTCATACTGTCAGTCCTGACTTCCTGTTTCCTGTTGACCGTTGAGTCTGTTCGGGTTGCAGGTGCAGCTGCTGATTTCCACGCTGGACGTGGAAAACTACAAGCTGATCAAAGCCGACCTGGATCGGCTCCGCACGCTGGTGGAGAAGTCGGAGCTGTGGGTGGAGAAGAAGAGCTCAGGTGGAGGAGACGGGAAGAAAGACAAGAAGGAGAAGGTGGAGGTGAGAAACGACGCATTTCCATTTTCTCCACATCACAAGGGAACATTTCCTTCATTTCAAATCTGGTTCATGTTGAACTGCAGGGTGACAAATAATGTGAGCCTCGGCTTCCTGCTTCTCTGACATGTCAAAGGAAATAAAAACGACAGTATCATCAGCGTACAGCTTGAATAAAACATTTCATATCCGTCCATCGCAGAGCCGCCGCCTCCTTCCTGTTCTTTGAAATAAAACTCAATTTTCTGATATTTCATCTAAAAATCAAACAGTTTCAATGTTACAGAAACAAAAAAACAAGAAGATGTTAAAACGGGATAAAATATGGAATTATTTGCATCTTTTCATGGGAAAAATCAGAACTTTTACTTTGTTTTGATGAAAAGTGAAGCACAGACATTATGATATTATGGGATATTCCCAGAGGAATGTGGTAAAAAGTCCTGCTGATGGCGAAACTTTGATGATGATGAAGAATTTATTTGTAACATTTCATGTTGGAATAAAAAATATGAATCCATGCTCTCCTAATATTATGACTTTATTACAGTTTTGTTTTTAGCCCAACTTTAATGTCTCGATATTTTAATTATTTATTCTTGTATTTTTATGACTTTATTATGTGTTTTATAACTATTCTAGTTTTTTAAAAACTGTAATCTTGTGTTTTTTTAAACCTATTTTAATATTTTTATGATTTTTTTTGGACGTATTACAACTTTATTGCATATTTCTATGAGTTTATTCCCATATTATGACTTCACTGGTTATTTTGTTACTGTTATGACTTTGTCCTCATATTCTTACATTAGTTTGCATTCTGTCTTTATTCTTGTATTTTACAACTTCATTTTTCATAATGAATATTTTTAGACCAATTCTCTGACCAATCAGGTCAGCCTGAGGGTTTCAGGCATTTCTGTGATTTGATGCTGAAATAATTGAAATGTTTCCCTGAAGCCGCCGCGATCACAACCTGCTGTACCCTCTGCATCCTGCAGGGGGCGTCAGAGGACCCATCGCCAAAGAAAGAGAAGCAGCAGACAGGAAACGAGAACTACCAGAACGTCAAAGAGGTGAGAACGTTCTCTTCTGTCAGCCGATCAGACGCGATTCTTCAGGTGATCATTTCCATTGATCACCGGATCAATATGTAATCAATATATAAAATAGAAATGTTGAAATTACATCAAGAATGAATCCGACCTTAATCTGAAGATCAATGGTTTTGAATAATAAAAGAAAATTATTTTTGAGGAAATAAAGTTTGAGCTGAAATTAAAACTTTAGATAATCCATGTTTTATGATTTAGGATTATTGATCGAAGAATAAATGAGGATTCTATTTATGGATAATTTCTTTCTGCTTTCTGATGGTTTCATGTTTGTTTGCAGCAGCAGCTCATTTCTTCTGTCCTCCTCAGATTCTGGAGCGGCTCAATAAAATGTGCAGCTCTGGAGCCTTGAAGAAGCAGCAGCGGCTGCTGAAGAACATGGGAGCTCATAAAGTCATGCTGGACCTGCTGCAGGTTTCCTACGACAAGGTGCGGCGGCCCGGACCGCCACAATAAAAGTACTGAGGCGTGGTTCACTTCCTGTCTACAAATCCGACCTTTTCTTCCCGTCTGTGCAGAACGACGTGAAAATGCAGGAGATCATCAGATTCACTCACATGTTTCTGCAGAAGTTCTGCCTGGGGAACCAGGAGAACCAGGCGCTGCTGCACAAGAACCTCAGCCTGTTCTGAACCCCGGGGTGCGCAGACACGCCTTCCAGAACCTTATCGAGCTGCTGGTTCTGGTTCTGTTTCTAGTTCTGGTTCTGACCCATGGGTTGTGAAGGTTTGTGCTGCTGCCGGTCTAAAGGTCAACAGAGGTCACCATTGATGCCTTCAGAGCAACAGCAGCACAAACACAGCAGAGGGTTGACCTCTGATGACCTCTAGAAATGTTTTATTAATGTCTTTAAAATGATAAAAAGTCTTTTTGCTCAAATTCAAAATCAATTCTGTTAAATTCGGGATGGGCTGGTTGACCTTTAACCTTTCATTGGGAGCAAAACAGCTTTTTGCTGCTCAGACGCCTGATTGGGTTCAGTTGGGTTTGAGGATATGTGACCTCTAGCTGTTGACCTCCAGCTGTTGACCTCCAGCTGTTGACCTCCAGCTGTTGACCTCCAGTTGTTGACCTCCAGTTGTTGACCTCCAGCTGTTGACCTCCAGCTGTTGACCTCCAGTTGTTGACCTCCAGTTGTTGACCTCCAGCTGTTGACCTCCAGTTGTTGACCTCTAGCTGTTGACCTCTAGCTGTTGACCTCCAGCTGTTGACCTCCAGCTGTTGACCTCTAGTTGTTGACCTCTAGCTGTTGACCTCTAGTTGTTGACCTCCAGCTGTTGACCTCCAGCTGTTGACCTCTAGTTGTTGACCTCTAGCTGTTGACCTCTAGCTGTTGACCTCCAGCTGTTGACCTCCAGTTGTTGACCTCCAGTTGTTGACCTCTAGCTGTGACCTCCAGCTGTTGACCTCCAGTTGTTGACCTCCAGTTGTTGACCTCCAGCTGTTGACCTCCAGTTGTTGACCTCCAGCTGTTGACCTCCAGTTGTTGACCTCTAGCTGTTGACCTCTAGCTGTTGACCTCCAGCTGTTGACCTCCAGCTGTTGACCTCCAGTTGTTGACCTCTAGCTGTTGACCTCTAGCTGTTGACCTCCAGCTGTTGACCTCCAGCTGTTGACCTCTAGTTGTTGACCTCTAGCTGTTGACCTCCAGCTGTTGACCTCCAGCTGTTGACCTCTAGTTGTTGACCTCTAGTTGTTGACCTCTAGTTGTTGACCTCCAGCTGTTGACCTCCAGCTGTTGACCTCTAGTTGTTGACCTCTAGCTGTTGACCTCTAGCTGTTGACCTCCAGCTGTTGACCTCCAGCTGTTGACCTCTAGTTGTTGACCTCTAGTTGTTGACCTCCAGCTGTTGACCTCTAGCTGTTGACCTCTAGTTGTTGACCTCTAGCTGTTGACCTCCAGCTGTTGACCTCTAGTTGTTGACCTCTAGCTGTTGACCTCTAGCTGTTGACCTCCAGCTGTTGACCTCCAGTTGTTGACCTCCAGCTGTTGACCTCCAGCTGTTGACCTCCAGTTGTTGACCTCCAGCTGTTGACCTCCAGTTGTTGACCTCTAGCTGTTGACCTCTAGTTGTTGACCTCCAGTTGTTGACCTCTAGCTGTTGACCTCTAGCTGTTGACCTCTAGCTGTTGACCTCCAGCTGTTGACCTCTAGTTGTTGACCTCCAGCTGTTGACCTCCAGCTGTTGACCTCCAGCTGTTGACCTCCAGTTGTTGACCTCTAGCTGTTGACCTCCAGCTGTTGACCTCTAGTTGTTGACCTCTAGCTGTTGACCTCCAGCTGTTGACCTCTAGCTGTTGACCTCCAGCTGTTGACCTCCAGCTGTTGACCTCTAGTTGTTGACCTCCAGCTGTTGACCTCCAGTTGTTGACCTCTAGCTGTTGACCTCCAGCTGTTGACCTCCAGTTGTTGACCTCCAGCTGTTGACCTCCAGCTGTTGACCTCCAGTTGTTGACCTCTAGCTGTTGACCTCCAGCTGTTGACCTCCAGTTGTTGACCTCCAGCTGTTGACCTCCAGCTGTTGACCTCCAGTTGTTGACCTCTAGCTGTTGACCTCTAGTTGTTGACCTCCAGTTGTTGACCTCTAGCTGTTGACCTCTAGCTGTTGACCTCTAGCTGTTGACCTCCAGTTGTTGACCTCCAGTTGTTGACCTCCAGCTGTTGACCTCCAGCTGTTGACCTCCAGTTGTTGACCTCCAGCTGTTGACCTCCAGCTGTTGACCTCCAGTTGTTGACCTCTAGCTGTTGACCTCCAGCTGTTGACCTCCAGCTGTTGACCTCCAGTTGTTGACCTCTAGTTGTTGACCTCTAGCTGTTGACCTCCAGCTGTTGACCTCCAGTTGTTGACCTCTAGCTGTTGACCTCTAGTTGTTGACCTCTAGCTGTTGACCTCCAGTTGTTGACCTCCAGTTGTTGACCTCTGGCTGTTGACCTCCAGCTGTTGACCTCCAGTTGTTGACCTCCAGTTGTTGACCTCCAGCTGTTGACCTCCAGTTGTTGACCTCCAGTTGTTGACCTCTAGTTGTTGACCTCTAGTTGTTGACCTCTAGTTGTTGACCTCCAGCTGTTGACCTCCAGCTGTTGACCTCTAGTTGTTGACCTCTAGCTGTTGACCTCTAGCTGTTGACCTCCAGCTGTTGACCTCCAGCTGTTGACCTCTAGTTGTTGACCTCTAGTTGTTGACCTCCAGCTGTTGACCTCTAGCTGTTGACCTCTAGTTGTTGACCTCTAGCTGTTGACCTCCAGCTGTTGACCTCTAGTTGTTGACCTCTAGCTGTTGACCTCTAGCTGTTGACCTCCAGTTGTTGACCTCCAGCTGTTGACCTCCAGCTGTTGACCTCCAGCTGTTGACCTCCAGTTGTTGACCTCCAGCTGTTGACCTCCAGTTGTTGACCTCTAGCTGTTGACCTCTAGTTGTTGACCTCCAGTTGTTGACCTCGAGCTGTTGACCTCTAGCTGTTGACCTCTAGCTGTTGACTCCAGTTGTTGACCTCCAGTTGTTGACCTCTAGCTGTTGACCTCTAGTTGTTGACCTCTAGCTGTTGACCTCCAGTTGTTGACCTCCAGTTGTTGACCTCTGGCTGTTGACCTCCAGCTGTTGACCTCCAGTTGTTGACCTCCAGTTGTTGACCTCCAGTTGTTGACCTCCAGTTGTTGACCTCTAGCTGTTGACCTCTAGTTGTTGACCTCTAGCTGTTGACCTCCAGTTGTTGACCTCCAGTTGTTGACCTCTAGCTGTTGACCTCCAGTTGTTGACCTCTAGCTGTTGACCTCCAGTTGTTGACCTCCAGCTGTTGACCTCCAGTTGTTGACCTCTAGCTGTTGACCTCTAGTTGTTGACCATTAGCTGTTGACCTCCAGTTGTTGACCTCCAGTTGTTGACCTCTAGCTGTTGACCTCCAGCTGTTGACCTCCAGCTGTTGACCTCCAGTTGTTGACCTCTAGCTGTTGACCTCCAGCTGTTGACCTCCAGCTGTTGACCTCCAGTTGTTGACCTCTAGTTGTTGACCTCTAGCTGTTGACCTCCAGCTGTTGACCTCCAGTTGTTGACCTCTAGCTGTTGACCTCTAGTTGTTGACCTCTAGCTGTTGACCTCCAGCTGTTGACCTCTAGTTGTTGACCTCCAGCTGTTGACCTCCAGTTGTTGACCTCTAGCTGTTGACCTCTAGTTGTTGACCATTAGCTGTTGACCTCCAGTTGTTGACCTCCAGTTGTTGACCTCTAGCTGTTGACCTCCAGCTGTTGACCTCCAGCTGTTGACCTCCAGTTGTTGACCTCTAGTTGTTGACCTCCAGCTGTTGACCTCCAGCTGTTGACCTCCAGTTGTTGACCTCTAGCTGTTGACCTCCAGTTGTTGACCTCCAGTTGTTGACCTCTGGCTGTTGACCTCCAGCTGTTGACCTCCAGTTGTTGACCTCCAGTTGTTGACCTCCAGCTGTTGACCTCCAGTTGTTGACCTCCAGTTGTTGACCTCTAGCTGTTGACCTCTAGCTGTTGACCTCCAGCTGTTGACCTCCAGTTGTTGACCTCTAGTTGTTGACCTCTAGCTGTTGACCTCCAGCTGTTGACCTCCAGCTGTTGACCTCTAGTTGTTGACCTCCAGCTGTTGACCTCTAGCTGTTTACCACCAGCTGTTGACCTCCAGCTGTTGACCTCTAGTTGTTGACCTCTAGCTGTTGACCTCCAGCTGTTGACCTCCAGTTGTTGACCTCTAGTTGTTGACCTCTAGCTGTTGACCTCCAGCTGTTGACCTCCAGCTGTTGACCTCTAGTTGTTGACCTCCAGCTGTTGACCTCTAGCTGTTGACCTCCAGCTGTTGACCTCCAGCTGTTGACCTCTGGCTGTTGACCTCCAGCTGTTGACCACCAGCTGTTGACCTCTAGCTGTTGACCTCCAGCTGTTGACCTCTAGTTGTTGACCTCCAGCTGTTGACCTCCAGCTGTTGACCTCTAGTTGTTGACCTCTAGCTGTTGACCTCCAGTTGTTGACCTCTAGCTGTTGACCTCTAGCTGTTGACCTCTAGCTGTTGACCTCCAGTTGTTGACCTCCAGTTGTTGACCTCCAGCTGTTGACCTCCAGCTGTTGACCTCCAGCTGTTGACCTCCAGTTGTTGACCTCCAGCTGTTGACCTCCAGTTGTTTGACCTCTAGTTGTTGACCTCCAGCTGTTGACCTCCAGTTGTTGACCTCCAGTTGTTGACCTCTAGCTGTTGACCTCCAGCTGTTGACCTCCAGCTGTTGACCTCCAGCTGTTGACCTCTAGTTGTTGACCTCTAGCTGTTGACCTCCAGCTGTTGACCTCCAGTTGTTGACCTCTAGCTGTTGACCTCTAGTTGTTGACCTCTAGCTGTTGACCTCCAGCTGTTGACCTCCAGTTGTTGACCTCTGGCTGTTGACCTCCAGCTGTTGACCTCCAGTTGTTGACCTCCAGTTGTTGACCTCCAGCTGTTGACCTCCAGTTGTTGACCTCCAGTTGTTGACCTCTAGCTGTTGACCTCCAGTTGTTGACCTCCAGCTGTTGACCTCCAGTTGTTGACCTCTAGCTGTTGACCTCTAGTTGTTGACCATTAGCTGTTGACCTCCAGTTGTTGACCTCCAGTTGTTGACCTCTAGCTGTTGACCTCCAGCTGTTGACCTCCAGCTGTTGACCTCCAGTTGTTGACCTCTAGCTGTTGACCTCCAGCTGTTGACCTCCAGCTGTTGACCTCCAGTTGTTGACCTCTAGCTGTTGACCTCCAGCTGTTGACCTCCAGCTGTTGACCTCCAGCTGTTGACCTCTGGCTGTTGACCTCCAGCTGTTGACCTCCAGCTGTTGACCTCTAGCTGTTGACCTCTAGCTGTTGACCTCTAGCTGTTGACCTCCAGCTGTTGACCTCTAGCTGTTGACCTCCAGCTGTTGACCTCTAGCTGTTGTTTCCTGCTGCTGCAGCTGCAGGAGGCTGAGACGGTGCAGCACATCTTCAGCAACAACTACCAGCTGTGCAGCGAGATCTCGGAGAGCGTGCTGCAGCACTTCATCCACTGCCTGGCGACGCACGGACGCCACGTCCAGTACCTCAACTTCCTGCACACCATCATCAAGGCCGAGGGGAAGTACGTCAAGAAGTGCCAGGACATGATAATGACCGAGGTGAGGCTCCACCCCACAGCGCCACGCGCCGCAGCGCTGGCCGCAGCGCCACGCGCCGTGTCCGTGTTTCCTCCTCACGCTGTCCCCGTGTCTCAGCTGACCAACGCCGGCGAGGACGTGGTCGTCTTCTACAACGACAAGGCGTCGTTCAACGCCATGCTGGAGCTGATGGCCCAGAGCAGGGAGGGAGTCGGGGAGAACAGCCCGCTCAGGTAACCACGGCAACCCGTCATCCAATCGGACGTCTACGTTCAAAATGCGGCGGTCGGGTTTGAGGTCATCGTCTGGAAGCATGAAGGGCCTGAAACTGAAACGGGTCGGTCGCTCCAGTCCAGCTGCAGCTTTAATTTCATCCGTTTTCTGCAGAACCAGAAACTTTCGGGTCGTTTTCAGACCCTCCTCCAGTTTCTCTTCACGCGGCGCAGGAACCGCTGCTGGCTTTTCAAAATAAAGTCAATTTGGATATTTTAATGAATGTCAAACTGATGATGGTTTGATGTTCCGATATAAGCTCTAAATATTTTCATATGAATTTATCTCACATGCTTTATGTTCTTTAAGAACCTTCATTGTGAAAGTTTGGGCTTTTATTTTGACGAGTCCCTGTGTTACATGGAGAGGAAACACTGAAAACTGATTCATGATTATAAACATTTAGTGGATTATTATTACTATCATTATTATTTTCATTATTATTATTATCATTATTATTATCATAATAATAATAATTATTATCATAATAATTATCATCATTATTATTGTCATTATTATTATTATCATAATTATTATTTTATTATCATTATTATCATCATTATTAATATTATTATCATCGTTATTATTATTATCATCATTATTATCATATTATTTTATTATCATTATCATAATCATTGTTATTATTATCATTATTATTATCATAATAATAATTATTATTATCATAATAATTATCATCATTATTATTGTCATTATTATTATTATCATAAGTATTATTTTATTATCATTATTATCATCATTATTATCATTATTAATATTATTATCATCATTATTATCATTATCATTATTATTATCGTTATCATTATTAATATTATTATCATTATTATTATTATCATCATTATTATCATATTTATTATCATTATTATTATTATCATTATTATCATTATTATTATTATCATTATCATAATTATTATTATTATCATTATTATCATATTTTATTATCATTATTATTATTATCATTATTATTTTTATTATAATTATTATTATCATTATCATAATTATTATTATTATTATCATTATCATAATTATTATTATTATCATTATTATTATAATAATAATAATTATTATCATAATAATTATCATCATTATTATCATAATTATTATTGTCATTATTATTATTATCATAATTATTATTTTATTATCATTATTATCATCATTATTATCATTATTAATATTATTATCATCGTTATTATTATTATCATTATTATTATTATCATCATTATTATTATCATTATTATCATCATTATTATTATTGTTATCATCATTATTATTATCATCATTATTATTATCATATTATTTTATTATCATTATTATCATCATTATTATTATCATTATTATCATCATTATTATTATCATTATTAATATTGTTATCATCATTATTATTATTATCATCATTATTATTATCATATTATTTTATTATCATTATCATTATTATCATAATTATTATTTTATTATCATTATTATTATTATCATTATCATAATCATTATTATCATAATTATTATTTTATTATCATTATTATCATCATTATCATCGTTATTATTATTATTATCATCATTATTATCATCATTATTATCAATATTTTCTCAGACATGTTCAGATGAGACTTCCAGTCCAGTTGTTTTGTTGCAGATGAAGGATCCTGATAGGTTTGTGTTTCTCTCTGAGGTTGACGCGTTGTCGAGCCGTTCCTTCGGTTCCAACCGCCGACCCAGAGCTGTGAGAGCCTCCAGAACCTTCTGACCCGGTTCTGCTTCCTGAGCAGGTACCACATCTCTCTGGTGGAGCTGCTGGCCGCCTGCGCCGAGGGCAAGAACGTTTACACCGAGATCAAATGCACGTCGCTGCTGCCGCTGGAGGACGTGGTCCGGGTCGTTACGCACGAGGACTGCATCACCGAGGTGACCGGGTCGGGATCGGTCCGGGTCCGGTTCCCGGTTCTGGGTCTCACCTGTGACTGTCTGCAGGTGAAAATCGCCTACGTGAACTTTGTGAACCACTGCTACGTCGACACCGAGGTGGAGAAAGAAATCTACACGTCCACATCTGGAAGCTGTTTGAGGATTTCACCGTGGACATGGCGCGGGTACGAAACCGGGCCAGAACCAGGGCAGAACCAGAAACTGGGGCAGAACCAGGGCAGTGGGGCAGAACCCAGGAGGGAAACCAGGGCAGAACCAGGGCAGAACCGGGGCAGTGGGGCAGAACCCAGGAGGGAAACAAGGGCAGAACCAGGGCAGTGGGGCACAACCAGGGCAGAACCGGGGCAGGGGCAGAACCAGGGCAGAACCGGGGCAGTGGGGCATGGAGTCTCCAAATGAAAACACTAAATGAACAAAGTTCCTCGTTAGAAAATGAGCTCAGAGATTTTACGATATTTTGGTCTTGAACATTTTTATTTATTTTGCACCAAAAAAAACATTTTCAACATTTTATGAAACTAAATTTTCTGTTTCTCATTTATTTAAAAACTGATTTTAGTTTATTTTTGTTGGCTAAAATTATCTTGTATTTATTTATTTATCTCTTTTATATTTTCTTTAAAAGTATTGAGGGATTTTTCATAAATTTATAGATTCATTCATTTTTTATTTTAGAATAAATAAAAAATCTGATGTTTCATATTTATTTTGACCAAAACAACAATAAAAAAAGAAAATATTGTTTATGATATTCCATAATGATCAGGTTCTTGTTTGATTCTCAGGTTTTTAAATTGTTTCTTCTTCTGCAGGTTTGCAACAAGCGCGAGAAACGACTCACCGACCCGGTTCTGGAGAAATACATCATCAACGTGGTTTTTGACACCATCACCGCCTTCTTCAGCTCTCCGTTCTCTGAGAACAGCACGTCTCTGCAGGTGGGGCGACTCGGAGCGGGCCGGACTTGGCTGGACCCGGCCGGACCAGGCCGGGCCGGACTCGGCCTGGTCCGGGCCGGACCCGGCCGGTTGAGACGTTTCTTCTTCTCTCCGTCAGACTCATCACACCATCGTGGTCCAGCTGATGCAGTCGTCCGTCAGGCTGCTGGATTGTCCCTGGCTGCTGCCGCTGCACCGCGGTCAGGTGGAGGCCTGCATCAAGACGCTGTCGCTGACAGGTAACACTAAGCCCCGCCCACCGTAGCGCTCTAAGCCCCGCCCACCTCAGACCTCACCGCTACACCAGGAGACAAACCTGCTGGGTTTGATTTCCTGAAATCCTCGGACTCGGCAGCTTCACATTCAGACTGGAGGCCTTTAGACGTTTCAGAGAAATATTGACGTGATTCCAGAGTTCGTTCTGAAGAAATGTTCAAATTCATGAAAAATTGACACATTCCTGCATTTTTTTTCTCCTCAAAAATGATGAAAAACAATCAGGTTTTAATGTTGACTCCCACCTGCAGGTGGCAGTATTGCTTACTTCTACTCTACTGCTGACTCACCTGCTGTCCAAACCAATAAGCCTGTTTCTCCATCACAGTGAAAAATATGTCTTCGCTCCAGGAGACACAAAATGTCTTTAAGGCCTAGAAACAGTTTTCTGTTTCCTTCTTGGCGTCTCCAGCTAAGAACCGCTCCATCTCCCTCCCTCTGGAGCTGGAGGCCATGATCAACAACGTGTTGTCCAGCTTGGCCACGAACACCCTGAACCGCTCCGCCTACAAGACGCCGACCCGCAGCGCCAGGCCCGTCCCCTTCGACTACAAGAACATCATTGAGAAACTGCAGGTACGCCGCCGCGCTGCTGCAGCACGCTGCAGCACGTGGCTTCTCTAATGTCTCCATCTCGCCCTCCCCGTCTCGCCCTCCCCGTCTCACCCTCCCCGTCTCGCCTTCCCCGTCTCACCCTCCCCGTCTCACCCTCCCCGTCTCACCCTCCCCGTCTCGCCCTCCCCGTCTCGCCCTCCCCGTCTCGCCCTCCCCGTCTCGCCCTCCCCGTCTCGCCCTCCCCGTCTCGCCTCCAGGACATCATCAACACGCTGGAGGAGCGTCTGAAGCCGCTGGTCAACGCGGAGCTGTCGGTGCTGGTGGACGTCCTGCACCAGCCGGAGCTGCTGTTCCTGGAGGGAAGCGACGCGCGGCAGCGCTGCGAGTCCGGCGGCTTCATCTCCAAGTAGGTGGGCGGGTCTGAGCGGCCGCTGCCAGAGGCATGCTGGGAAATGGTGTTCACTGCCGTGTCTGCTCTGCAGACTGATCCAGCACACCAAGGCGCTGATGACCTCAGAGGAGAAGCTGTGCATCAAAGTGCTGAAGACGCTGCAGCATATGCTCATCAGGACCCTGGACTTTGATGACAAGGTCAGAGGTCAACCTGAGGCTCAGTCTCTGTGAATATCCACTGGTTAAAATGACACTAAATGCTCTGTGTTTGGTTCTGACCCGGATGGATTCAGGGAATGCTGCTGCGTAAGGTTCTGCTGCAGAACTACCTGTTCTCCAACAGGAAGGGCAACCAGAAGAACGACCTGGCTGACCTGGGAGCCGCAGGTACGACTGGGAGCTGCTGCTAGTGGGATGCTAACGCTGCCTGTTGCTCCTTCAAAATAAAAGCCTTTTAAAAGGCCTCAGCAAGAACAAATTAGACGTTTTAACGTTGACCCATTCTGGGAGAAAAACGGGTGAAACCAAAGTTCTCCTCAGACTGAGTCACTTCAGGATGTGTTGGTGGTTCAGGTGGCGAACAGGAGCGCGACTGGGCAGCGGTGGCGGCCATCCAGTGCCGTCTGGACCGGGAAGGAGGAACGAAGCTGTTCACCGACCTGGTGATGAGCTCCAAGAACGACAAGATCTTCCTGGAGAGCATCCAGCTGGCCATCTGTCTGCTGGAGGGAGGCAACACGGAGATCCAGGTAGCACACCTGAGTTCACCGGGTCCAGACGGCCGCAGAAATCAACGAAACGGATAAAAACTCCTGTTTGTCTGCAGAACTCCTTCTACAAACTGATGATGGGCGACAACAAGTCGGAGAAGTTCTTCAAGGTTCTTGATGACCGGATGAAAGAAGCTCAGATGGACATTAAGGCGACGGTTTCTGTAAACGTTGGTGAAATGACGCACAAGGCCAACGAGAAGGAGCTGGAGGCCGGTGAGCGGGTTGAAACTACCTGTGATAGTTTGAGGTCAGAGGTCAGATCAGTGCTGGTAGAAGAGGGTTCAGTTACTGATGGATGTTGTGGAAGCGTGGTTCCACCTCACCGGCTCTCCCTGCTTCAGGAGGACTTCCTCTGATGGTCCACGGTCAAAGCATCGCCCCGGTAACAGCCGCCATGTCCACCCAGCAGGCAGAGGAGCAGCGGGAGGCGGAGATGGAGATGGGACCAGCGGTCACCATCATGAAGCCCATCCTGAGGTTCCTGCAGCTGCTGTGTGAGAACCACAACTACAACCTGCAGGTCAGTCAGCGCTAACTGGCCGACTGTGGCTAACAACCAGCGCTAACTAGCCAACTGTGGCTAACAACCAGCGCTAACTGGCCGACTGTGGCTAACAACCAGCGCTAACTGGCCGACTGTGGCTAACAACCTGCGCTAACTAGCCAACTGTGGCTAACAACCAGCGCTAACTGGCCGACTGTGGCTAACAACCAGCGCTAACTAGCCGACTGTGGCTAACAACCAGCGCTAACTAGCCAACTGTCACTAACAACCAGCACTAACTAGCCAACTGTCGCTAACAACCAGCGCTACCTAGCCAACTGTGGCTAACAACCAGCGCTAACTAGCCAACTGTCGCTAACAACCAGCGCTAACTAGCCAACTGTCGCTAACAACCAGCGCTAACTAGCCTATTCCCGGTTAGTTAACAAACCAGACCAGTTCACCAGTTAGTATCTCGTCCCAATAGTGAAGCTGACTATCATCAAGCTGCAGGAATCTGTTGCTGGTTCTTGTTAACTAATAAGAACCGGATCAACAGGTTGGTCCTGATTCCAGCCTGGGTCGGGTTCAACCTGCCGCTCAGGTCCGGTTGGTTCTCCAGCTGGTCCGGTTGGGTCACATCAAACAAGAAGTTCTGGACTGTTTCCAGTTACTGAAGGTCCAGATGATCAGCTGCCTCCCAGTCGGGCCGTCACGGCACCACCTGGTGGTTGTTAAAAGAATCGCAGGGTCAGAGACGAGCCGGATTATGTCTCGGTGATTTTTGTGTTCCCAGAACTTCCTGCGTTGCCAGAACAATAAAACCAACTACAACCTGGTGTGTGAGACGCTGCAGTTCCTGGACATCATGTGTGGAAGCACCACCGGCGGACTGGGCCTGCTGGGCCTCTACATCAACGAATCAAACGTCCACCTGATCATCCAGACCCTGGAGACGCTCACAGAGTACTGCCAGGGCCCCTGCCAGGAGAACCAGGTGCTCCAACACTCGGTCGGACCCAAAGTTCAATCCTTGTGTTTTAGACAGTCGGTCCAGAAGCTAACGGTTAGCCGGCTACATGGGCTCCAACGCCTGGCCAACACATTTCAGGTTTTCTTTGGCTTCCACGGCCTTTAGGGACCGGGTCCCACACACACAACCTTTTCACTGGGAGCGGTCCGGTCAGTCCAGGACTCCAGATCTCAGAGTCTGGCCCGGTTCTGGCCCGGTCCAGTCCAGATCCTGGACTCCAGACCCTGGAGTCCAGCAGGAAAACTGACCCCCGTCGTGGATTTGTGTATTTTTCAGACGTGCATCGTGACTCACGAGTCCAACGGCATCGACATCATCACGGCGCTGATCCTGAACGACATCAGCCCGCTCTGTCGGTACCGGGTGGAGATGGTTCTGCAGCTGAAGGTACAGCGGGTCGGCTGCTCTCACCAGAACGGGTCGGCGGTGACACAAATCAATATTCATCTACGTTAACATCTGATCTGATCGGTTTCAGAAACTTTTAGAAATATCCTGTTTAAAAAAAATATGACAATCTGTAGGTTTTAACTATAAAACACCTGAGACGTTTACATGTGCATGTACGGAGGTCTGACCCTGCCAAAACTGGCAATAAATATAGAAATAAATAAATGGCTTGGTAAAATAATTGATGTGCATCCAAACAGAAAAAGTGAAAACTTTCCAACTTATTTCGGCAGGTTTTGTCCTCCATATGGAGGAAAAGGAAACAAAGAAAAAAATATTTTCAGAAAATAATAAATGTGATCTAAACATACAAATATACACAATTACTTGATAAAAATGTTAAAATAATTTATGTCATTTACTGGAGTCACATTCAGTTTGAACATATTTATTATAAAGTTGTAACTTATGTTTGGCACTAATTTACTAAATATAACTTGGACTTGCTGTAATACAGGATTTATTTCAGCTTCCTCCCTTATGATGAGCTAATTAATTAATGTTTCAGTCAAACAATTAATGTTGATTAAGTTTTACTGTATTATAAAACAACAGCATTGGCTGGAAATCTTTGTTTTCTGTCACATCTTTTCATTCTCTTGGATTTCAGTTCTGATTCTTTTCCTCTTTGGTTTCTGATGGATTTTATGAGACGCTTTCAAAGTCTTGTCATTACAGCTGTTGGCCTGCAGGGGGCAGCAGCGAGCAGCTCTGATTGGCTGAACGCTGCAGATGTTTCTGTTCTGTTGCCAGGACAACGCCTCCAAGCTGCTGCTGGCGCTGATGGAGAGTCGTCATGACAACGAGAACGCAGAGAGGATCCTGTTCAACCTGCGACCGAGGGAGCTGGTGAGGGCGGTCCGGGTTCCGGCCCGGTTCTGGCCCGGTTCTGGACCGGGATGGTTCTAGCCCGTTTCTGGCCCGGTCTGGACCGGGATGGTTCTGGCCCGGTTCTGGCCCGGTTCCAGCCTGGTTCTGGCCCGGTCCGGCCCGGTTCCGACCCGGTTCCAACCCGGTCTGAGTTCTGGCCCGGCCCGGTTCTGGCTCGGTCTGGACCGGGATGGTTCTGGCCCGGTTCTGGCCCGGTCCGGCCCGGTTCCGACCCGGTTCTGGCCCGGTTCCGGCCCGGTCTGGGTTCTGGCCCGGTTCTGGCCCAGCCTGGTTCTGGCCCGGTTCTGGCCCGGTCCGGACCGGTCTGGACCGGGATGGTTCTGGCCCGTTTCTGGCCCCGTCCGGCCCGGTTCTGGCCCGGTCTGGGTTCTGGCCCGGTTCCAGCCTGGTTCTGGCCCGGTCCGGCCCGGTTCCGACCCGGTTCCAACCCGGTCTGAGTTCTGGCCCGGCCCGGTTCTGGCTCGGTCCGGCCTGATTCTGGCCCGGTCTGGACCGGGATGGTTCTGGCCCGGTTCTGGCCCGTTTCTGGCCCGGTCCGGCCCGGTTCCGACCCGGTTCTGGCCCGGTCTGGGTTCTGGCCCGGTTCTGGCCCGGTCTGGACCGGGATGGTTCTGGCCCGGTTCCAGCCTGGTTCTGGCCGGTCCGGCCCGGTTCCGACCCGGTTCCAACCCGGTCTGAGTTCTGGCCCGGCCCGGTTCTGGCTCGGTCCGGCCCGATTCTGGCCCGGTCTGGACCGAGATGGTTCTGGCCCGGTCCGGCCCGGTTCCGACCCGGTTCTGGCCCGGTTCCGGCCCGGTCTGGGTTCTGGCCCGGTTCTGGCCCAGCCTGGTTCTGGCCCGGTCTGGTCCGGGACGGTTCTGGCCCGTTTCTGGCCCGGTCCGGCCGGTTCCGACCCGGTTCTGGCCCGGTCTGGGTTCTGGCCCGGTTCTGGCCCGGTTCCAGCCTGGTTCTGGCCCGGTCTGGTCCGGGACGGTTCTGGCCCGGTCCGGCCCGGTTCCGACCCGGTTCCGGCCGGTCTGAGTTCTGGCCCGGCCCGGTTCTGGCCCGGCCCGGTTCTGGCCCGGTCTGGACCGGGATGGTTCTGGCCCGGTTCTGGCCCGGTCTGGCCCGGTTCCGACCCGGTTCTGGCCCGGTTCTGGCACGGTCTGGGTTCTGGCCCGGTTTTGGCCCGGTCCGGCCCGGTTCTGGCCCGGTCTGGGTTCTGGCCCGGTCCGGCCCGGTTCTGGCCCGGCCTCACGTTGCGTGTCTGCAGGTGGAGGTGATCAAGAAGGCGTACCAGCAGGACAGCGAGTGTGAGGAGGAGGAGCAGGTGGAGGGGCAGGAGGAGGTGGAGGTGTCGCCGCGGGAGGTGGGACACAACATCTACATCCTGGCCCAGCAGGTGACGACACGCAGCCTCCCGATTGGCTGCCGGACTCCTCTGATGCGATTCTATTGGACCAGATGTTTGTTCTGATGCTGGGTTCTGATTGGCAGCTGGCGAGACACAACAAAGTTCTGCAGAACCTCCTGAAGCCGCCCAAGAACAGCAAGGAGGGCGAGGAGGGCATCTCCTCCATGGTAACCATCCAACCGGCCATCCAACCAAGCATCCAACCAAACATCCAACCAACCAAACAGCCAACCAAACATCCAACCAACCAAACATCCAACCAACCAAACATCCAACCGGCCATCCAACCAAGCATCCAACCAAACATCCAACCAACCAAACAGCCAACCAAACATCCAACCAAGCATCCAACCAAACATCCAACCAACCAAACATCCAACCAAACATCCAACCAAACATCCAACCAACCAAACATCCAACCAAGCATCCAACCAACCAAACATCCAACCAAGCATCCAACCAAACATCCAACCAAACATCCAACCAACCAAACATCCAACTAAACATCCAACCAAGCATCCAACCAAACATCCAACCAACCAAGCATCCAACCAAACATCCAACCAAGCATCCAACCAAACATCCAACCAACCAAACATCCAACCATCCAAACATCCAACCAGCCAAACATCCAACCAAACATCCAACCAAACATTCAACCAACCAAGCATCCAACCAAACATCCAACCAACCAAACATCCAAACAACCAAACATCCAACCAACCAACCAAACATCCAAACAACCAAACATCCAACCAAACATCCAACCATCCAAACATCCAACCAACCAAACATCCAACCAACCAACCAAACATCCAACCAACCGAACATCCAATCAAACATCCAACCAAACATTCAACCAACCAAGCATCCAACCAAACATTCAACCAACCAAACATCCAACCAAACATCCAACCATCCAAACATCCAACCAAACATCCAACCAACCGAACATCCAATCAAACATCCAACCAAACATCCAACCAACCAAAACATCCAACCAAACATCCAACCAACCAAACATCCAACCAAAACATTCAACCAACCAAGCATCCAACCAAGCATCCAACCAACCATCCAACTGTCCATCCAACCGTCACCCAACCAACCATCCAACCGTTCATCCAACCGTTGTCCCCTGCAGCTGACCCTGCAGAGCCGTCCTCTGTCCCAGATGTTGAAATCTTCGGCTCCAGCTGAGGTTGTGGATCAGGATCCTCTGGAATACTACGACCAGCTCACGGCTCAGATCGAGGTCCGTTATCATCCCAGACTTCCTCGTCTTCATCTGAAGAACTTTGGAAAAATACTTTCACAAAATAAAACGTTTCAGGTCTTTTAATTTGAAGTTTCTCCAGCTCTTCCTGTCACTCCTGCTTCTTTTCTCCAGATTGTGCGTGAGGACCGCAGCATGGAGCAGATTGTGTTTCCTGTTCATCCCATCTGCGAGTTTCTCACCGAGGAGTCAAAGGTCAGAGTCTTCAACACCACCGAGCAGGACGAGCAGGGGTCGAAGGTCACGCACTTCTTTGAGCAGACGTCATTCCTGCACGGAGAGATGGAGTGGCAGAAGAAGCTGAGGAGTGAGAGCAGAGCGCCGGCCGGTAACATCCCAGATGTTTCCGGCTGAGCGCGTGTCCGCTCTGTTGCAGGCATGCCGGTTCTGTACTGGTTCTCCAGGAGGATGACTCTGTGGGGAACCATCTCCTTCAACCTGGCCGTCTTCATCAACCTCATCATCGCCTTCTTCTACCCCTACGACTCTGGCCAGGGTGTGTGGGAGGATCTGCTTCATCAGACAGGATCCAGGAACCATCAGAGCTCCGAAACTCCCTCTGATTGGTCCGTTCTCTTCCCGTGTAGGAGCGATCGACGACTCCATGCTGCTGATGCTGTTCTGGATCCTGACCGGGCTCTCCGTCCTGGGCTTGTTCTCCAAGCAGTACGGCCTGCAGCCGCTGACGCTGGCGCTGATCCTGCGCTCCATTTACCACCTGGGCATCAGAAACACGCTCATCCTGCTGGGATCGCTCAACGTGAGACGCAGCTCAGCGTGACGGGCGGGCCAGCTGCGCTAGCTGAGATGCTAACAGAAACATTTGCTTTGCTAATGCTAACGAGGTAGCCCAACATGAGAGTCAGCAGAAGCTAATGCTAAATTCAGCCATGTTGATGCTATCGTTATGTAGCCGGTACCCTGAACGTTAGCAAAACGCTAAAATCAGCTTCAGTAGATCAGCAGCTTTGTGGAAAAAGTTCTGATTGGGTCCAAACAGATTTTCATAAACATGAAGGCGTCAAGATTTCAATGCAAAACTGCTTTAAAAATCCCAACTTTGCATTAATGTGTCATAATTTACAGACTAATGCAAAGTGTGTGTGTGTCTCTGTGTGTGTGTTTCTGTGTGTGTGTCTGTGTGTGTGTCTGTCTGTGTGTGTGTGTGTGTGTGTGTGTGTGTGTCGTGTCTGTGTGTGTCTGTGTTTCTGTGTGTGTGTCTGTGTGTGTGTCTGTCTGTGTGTGTGTGTGTGTCTGTGTGTGTGTCTGTGTGTGTGTGTGTCTGTGTGTGTGTCTGTGTGTGTGTGTGTCTGTGTGTGTTTCTGTGTGTGTGTTTCTGTGTGTGTGTATGTGTGTTTCTGTGTGTGTGTTGTTCTGTGTGTGTGTCTGTGTGTTCTCGTGTGTGTCTCTGTGTGTGTGTGTCTGTGTGTGTTTCTGTGTGTGTGTGTCTGTGTGTGTGTGTGTGTGTTTCTGTGTGTATGTGTGTGTCTGTGTGTGTGTGTCTCTGTGCATGTGTGTGTGTGTGTGTGTCCAGCTCATCAATAAGGTGGTGTTTGTCGTGAGCTTTGTGGGGAACAATGGAACCTTCATCATGGGCTACAAAGCCATGGTGATGGATGTGGAGTTCCTGTACCACCTGGCCTACGCCCTCACCTCCACCCTGGGCCTCTTCGTCCATGAGCTCTTCTACAGCATCCTGGTACGGCGGCGTTCGGTCCTCCATGTTCCTCAGACCCTGATGATGATGATGATGATGGTGTGTGTGTCCAGCTGTTTGACCTGATCTACCGGGAGGACGCTGTTCAATGTGATCAAGAGCGTGACCCGGAACGGGCGCTCCATCCTGCTGACGGCGCTGCTCGCCCTCATCCTGGTCTACCTCTTCTCCATCCTGGGCTTCCTGTTCCTGAAGGAGGATTTCATCATGGAGGTGGATCCGCTGCGGCAGCTGACGGCAGACCCTCAGCACAGCGAGGCGGCGCAGGACTTCCTCAAGTCGTGCTCCACAGACGGAGTGAGCTGCACCACCGAGACCAGCGTGGAGACGGAGGAGGAAGGCAGGAGCTGCACATATTTATATTAGTTTTACAACAAATGAATGGAACAGGGTGGATTAACAGCAGGGGGCGGAGCTTAACCCCGAAGGGGGCGGAGCTTATCCACAGAGGGGCAGAGTTTAACCACCAGGGGGCGGAGTTTAACCCCGAATGGGGCGGAGCTTATCCACAGAGGGGCAGAGTTTAACCCCCAGGGGGCGGAGTTTAACCCCAGAGGGGCGGAGCTTATCCACAGAGGGGCAGAGTTTAACCCCCCAGGGGGTGGAGCTTATCCCCAGAGGGCGGAGTTTAACCCTGCATTGCTCCTGTTTCCAGGGGAGCCCAGCACAGAGCGGGCCTGCGATACGCTGCTCATGTGCATCGTCACCGTCCTGAACCACGGCTTGAGAACGGGGGAGGCGTGGGAGACGTCCTCCGTAAGCCATCCAAAAACGTGAGGTCAAAGTTCAAATATCTGCACCAGAAAGTAGAATAGAGGATGATTTATTGGTGAAACCTGTCAGTCCAAACGACCGGATTATTTATGAGGTTCTGCAGACAGTAAGGCTGCAGCAGAACCCGGTTCTGGACCGCTTTGGTTTTCTGGAGGTTCTGACGGTAATGCGGACCGGACCTATGTGCAGGAGCCGCTGTTCCCGGCGCGCGTCGTCTACGATCTGCTCTTCTACTTCATCGTCATCATCATCGTCCTCAACCTCATCTTCGGCGTCATCATCGACACGTTCGCCGACCTGCGGAGCGAGAAGCAGAAGAAGGAGGAGATCCTGAAGACCACATGCTTCATCTGCGGTGTGTAGCGGTCCCGGCCCGGTCCCGGCCCGGTTCTGGTTCCGCTGAGCCTGTCTGTGTCCTGCAGGTCTGGAGAGAGATAAGTTTGACAACAAGACGGTGTCGTTCGAGGAGCACATCAAGCTGGAGCACAACATCTGGAACTACCTGTACTTCATCGTTCTGGTCCGGGAGAAGAACCAGACGGATTACACGGGTCCAGAGAGCTACGTGGCCCACATGATCAAGGTATGGAGCCGGACCCGACCAGAACCGACCCGACCCGACCCGGCGGCCTCACCTCTCCCTTTCTGTCCCAGAACAACAACCTGGACTGGTTCCCACGGATGCAGGCCATGTCTCTGGTGGTAACCGACGGAGACGGCGAGCAGAACGAGATGCGGATGCTGCAGGACAAGCTGGTGTCGACCATGAAGGTGGTGACGACGCTGACGGGCCAGCTGAACGAGCTGAAGGAGCAGGTACCGGGTCGCTGGTTCTACTCCACCTGCACAGCCTGAAAGGAACCAGGACAGGCTTAGCTAGCTCAGCGAGTCAGCTAGCTCAGCGAGTCAGCTAGCTCAGGAAGTTAGCTAGCTTTCTACCTCAGCGAGTTAGCTAGCTTGCTAGCTCAGCGAGTTAGCTAGCTTAGCGAGTCAGCTAGCTTGCTAGCTCAGCGAGTCAGCTAGCTTGCTAGCTCAGCGAGTCAGCTAGCCAATATACACATATATTTGCTTTTTAACTATTTATTTGGATTAAAAAAATATTCAGCATCAAAGTGAATATTTAACTTCAAACAATTTTTCTTGCTAGCTGAGTGTTTTGTTTGATAACTGAGCTTTATAAATTAATTAATGACATGGTGAAAATATAACTTTGAAATATTAGCCACATTTTTAATCTTTTAACAGCTGAAATAACCCAAATTATTGCTGTTATTTTTTACTGTTTACAATCATCACCTTAATGAACTGATGCCCATATAAGGACATGAGGACCAGGATGCAGAATATCCTGAAGACAAATATGAAACATCTGTTGGTGAAACCGGACGCTGAACCTCCAGGTTCATCCAGCTGAGCAGCAGGCAGGAAGTAGTCGGGTCACCTGGAGGAGTAACGTGTGGACTTCCTGTGTCTGCAGATGACGGAGCAGAGGAAGAGGAAGCAGAGGATGGGCTTCGTGGACGTCCAGGCCGGAGCGAGTGGCGGCGTGCCGCCGAGCGCCGCTGGAGGAAACCATCAGATCTACAAACCCTAGAGAGACTGAATAGCATCTAGCTGGACTGATGCTGCAGGAGCACACACACACACACACACACACACACACACACAGACACACACACACACACAGAGACACTCTGTTCTGATGTGTAAAACCTGCTGAGTTGTAAAGATCAGCAGCAGATTGAACAGTTTGTGCTTCAGTTTGTGCTGCTTTTTCTCATAAATTATTGTGATGCATTAAAGGACCTTCAGAGGCTGGAGGTCCGGTCCAGACACTGAAGGAGGTTCTGTTCGGTCCGAGTGGAAGGATACTGATCGTTAATAAACTAAAATCTGTTTTAATGTAGAAACAAAAAGCCGTGAAAGTTGTTTAGGAAAAGGAAAGTTGTGTGTTTAGATCAGATGTTGAAATAAAATCCGTTGCTGTTCTCTAATTAAACTGCGTTGAGTTTTTACTGAGTTTCTATAAATATCGTTATTATTGCAGAGTTCAGACAGAAAGCAGCCGATGTGGCCCAGACGACCGTGAACAAGCTGCGGCGCCGGACCCACAGCGGCGCGGTGGTCCCGCCGGGTCCGCCAGGTCTGGTCTGCCGGGTCTGGGTCTGCCAAGTCCAGGTCTGGGTCCGCCGGATCCGGGTCTGCCGGGTCCACCGGTCTGGGTCCTGCCGGGTTTGGGTGTGCCAAGTCCGGGTCCGGGTCTGCCGGGTCTGGGTCCTGCAGGGTCTACGGTTCACATCCACCAGCTGACTGAGTTTCATCCTGATTGTTGATTTAAACTGTTTGCTCGTCGTAATAAATCTTTATTTTCCCTGTTTGTGAATCTGATGGTTCACAGGTCCATTATGTTACACATTAAATCACAATTTCAAATGATTTAATTTACAAAATGATATTTAGTTTGGCTCCAGACTAAATGTTTAGTCTGTAAACTTGGGCTGCACGGTGGTGCAGTGGGTAGCACCGTTACCTTGCAGGTAGAAGGTCCAGGGTTCGATTCCCAGGGTCTTTCTGCATGTTGTCTGTTCTGAAATGTGACTTTAGGATGAAATCTCCGTTTTTCTTCCTGAAAGACTAAAACTTACTGCAGTTGCTATTTGCTGACGCAGCGTTTCGGCGCCGCCTGATGCAGAAACGTTTCTTCCACTCAGCGTTTGGCGTTCAACACTTTTCACAGACTAAACTCAGTGGGGCTGAACAATCGTCCATCATCAAAGTGCTCTGCAGTTTATCCTTCTGTGGGTCCGGTCCGGTCAGAACCGGGCCGGTCGGTCCACATAAAAGCACATCGAAACTTTTACATTCAAACACAGCGGCGGCTGGAGGATCGGAGCGAAGCGGACCGGATTCACACCGGAGAGGAAAGTTCACCAACAGCTTCAGCATCAGAACCAGCAACCTCTGGGTCGGACGGGCTGAACGACCGACTCAGAATCAATCGGCCTGCTGCTCAAATCATGAAAACATTTTGAATGCAGAAAGAGGAGATTTATATGGAAGACCATTCCTGCCAGTAAAGAAAGAAAACCCAACATACAAGTTATAAAGTCAGAATAATGAAGAAAAGGCCAATCACTGCCTCAAAACGCTGACTTTAAAATATCCGTATTTCATGTTAATTGAATGTTGTAAAATACAAAAGTAAAATGGTAAGTTATAAACGTTCAAAGGAGGGGATAAAAGAATAAAGTTATTAGAAAACATGATTAATGCCGTACATTAAATAATCTTCAATATTCTCATCATCACCAGCAGAAGCTCTGGCAGGAACAACAACCATAATATCGTTTATAATAACATGACTTCCTGTTGGACATTTATCTGTTTCTTTCATGGCATGAATGGGTTTCCATAGATCTGATCCACCTGCAGCAGGTTCAGGATCAGAAAACATCACCTTACAGGTTAGAACAAAACATGATCATCGTTGTGATTTATTATATTACTCAATTTCTCTTATGGAGGGGATCACCATAGCAACCAATGATTTTCGCTAGCTTCAGCTGGCTAACTTCATCTGGCTAACTTCAGCTCGCTAGCTTCAGCTCGCTAACTTCATCTGGCTAACTTCAGCTCGCTAACTTCATCTGGCTAACTTCAGCTCGCTAGCTTCAGCTCGCTAACTTCATCTGGCTAACTTCAGCTCGCTAGCTTCAGCTCGCTAACTTCATCTGGCTAACTTCAGCTCGCTAGCTTCAGCTGGCTAACTTCAGCTGGCTAACTTCAGCTCGCTAGCTTCAGCTGGCTAACTTCAGCTCTCTAGCTTCAGCTGGCTAACTTCAGCTGGCTAACTTCAGCACGCTAGCTTCAGCTTGCTAATTTCAGCTGGCTAACTTTAGCTCACTAACTTCAGCACACTAGCTTCAGCTGGCTAACTTCAGCACGCTAACTTCAGCTCGCTAACTTCAGCTGGCTAACTTCAGCACGCTAGCTTCAGCTCGCTAACTTCAGCTCGCTAGCTTCAGCTGGCTAGCTTCAGCTGGCTAACTTCAGCACGCTAGCTTCTGCTGGCTAGCTTCAGCTCGCTAGCTTCAGCTGGCTAACTTCAGCACGCTAGCTTCTGCTGGCTGGTTTCAGCTCGCTAGCTTCAGCTGGCTAACTTTCAGCTTGCTAGCTTCAGCTCGCTAACTTCAGATGGCTAACTTCAGCTCGCTAGCTTCAGCTGGCTAGCTTCAGTTGGCTAACTTCAGCACGCTAGCTTCAGTTGGCTAGCTTTAGCTCGCTAACTTCAGCTGGCTAACTTTAGCTCACTAACTTCAGCACGCTAGCTTCAGCTGGCTAACTTCAGCACGCTAGCTTCAGCTGGCTAACTTCAGCTGGCTAACTTCAGCACGCTAGCTTCTGCTGGCTAACTTCAGCACGCTAACTTCAGCTCGCTAACTTCAGCTGGCTAACTTCAGCACGCTAGCTTCAGCTGGCTAGCTTCAGCTGGCTAACTTCAGCACGCTAGCTTCTGCTGGCTAGCTTCAGCTCGCTAGCTTCAGCTGGCTAACTTCAGCACGCTAGCTTCAGCTGGCTAGCTTCAGCTGGCTAACTTCAGCACGCTAGCTTCTGCTGGCTGGTTTCAGCTCGCTAGCTTCAGCTGGCTAACTTCAGCTCGCTAACTTCAGCTGGCTAACTTCAGCACGCTAACTTCAGCTGGCTAGCTTCAGTTGGCTAACTTCAGCACGCTAGCTTCAGTTGGCTAGCTTTAGCTCGCTAGCTTCAGCTGGCTAACTTCAGCACACTAGCTTCAGCTGGCTAGCTTCAGCCGACATGCTGAACAGCAACTCCACAAATGAAAGGCATTGTGGGAAATGTAGGAGAAAAGCCCAACAGAGACGTCCTGAACAGAAACCACTTTATGAATGAATCCTGAAACGAAACTCTGCAGACAGGAAGCTGACGTCTCCACTTCCTGTGTGAATCCAGTCATGTTTCCTGGAAGCTTTTCCTTCCTCCAGACGTGATCCTCCATCAGCTCAGTGGGTAAAACGGAGGAGGAAGGTGATTACAAATCAAACACACAGAAACAGAGTCCTGTCTCTGATTGGCTCTCGAGACGTCAGAAAGTCCTCCTCCAATCAGAACAGTTCTCGTCGTGGCGCCGTGGGAACCGCGGTCCTGGTTAGTAATGCTGTCGGTCACCATGGTAACCAACAGTGAAGTTAAAGGAGGAAGTCACATGACCACATTCGTGGTGACGTCAGTAGCGGCTCTTCAGCGCCTTGCAGACGAACTAAATCCAAACACGAGACGAAGGCGGCCAAAGGGAGGAAGAGGAGGAGGAAGACGAGGAGGAAGACGAGGAGGAAGAGGGATTCTGACTCATCATCTAAAAAGAAGAAATTTTCTCAAATTGAATTCAAAATCAGACAAGAATTGGGAGGAATTTATCTGAAACGCCTGGCAGGCAAAACTCAGGGAAAATGCTTCCTAAATGTTACAAACTCCTTTCCCTGTTCTCCTCCTGCTCCTCCTCAGGGCGACAGAGAGGAGGAGGAAGAGGAGGGAGGGGCAGATGATGAAGAGGCGCGTCCAGCGTTTCCTCCCAGAGTCTCTCCAGTGATGTCACAAAAGTAGCAGAAGGTGATTGGCTGACCGTTGACACAGGGGCGTGGCGGTCCAGCTGTGATGTCACCTCAATGGCCACGCCTTCCTGCTTCAGAGGGCTGCGGTGGGCGGAGTCTAGATCCGGTGTCAGCCAATTGGGAAGCTTATCCCTTCCAGCCGTCCCAGATCGGACCTCTGGACACAAACACAGAACCTGAGGGTTAAACCTGCCGCCGCTCACTTTGGGTCCAGTGAGACGACTGAGGCGGAAACACACAACCTGAAACACAAACGCTGTTGTTAAAGCGACGGTGGGAACAAACAAAACCCAACAGCAGATTTAGCCAATCAGAAAGAGCTTCAGCCAGGGCCGGCCCAAACCTGCATGGGGCCCCGAGACCGATGGAGCCTTTGGTTCTGCTAACAACGTGGCCCAATCAGCAGCCCGATCACTGGATCATTGACTCACCGGCTGTAAACCGACTGCATCTCTGGCTGCTTTTATCAAGCAGCTGATTTCTGGCTCCGATTTCCTTCATTTTGGGGCATCGTGATCTGATGATCATCTCTGTCCTTCTGACCAGGTCAGTCTGAACGTTTACAGCTAATAATCATTGTTAGCAACTTTCCTGCTGCATTCAACATTTCAGACCAAATAAATTCATATGAGCCAAAATCAGAACCAGGATCGGCCAGAAAACTGCAATCAGTGCAGAAACATTCGTCACATTCAACGAGTTTATCTTCAGCTCCAACAGCTACTAATGTAATTTATCCCAGGTGAGTCTTTTTGCCCTCAGAATGTGGACCGGTACCGGTACCAGTACCGGGTCGGTTCTGAGCCTTCAAATGATTTTTCTCAGCAGCTCATCCTGCAGCAGCTTGCAGCCTCTCAACATTTAGCTGGACGAGTTTTAATTATTCTTATCAAACAGTTTGAGGCCAAAATACCTCAGAAATGTCCACCAGGAGAATCAACTCAACATTTAAACTCAATTTCACATAAAGACGCAGCTTAAATGTTGCAGAACTGGACCGGTCCGGGTCGTCAAGGTCATTTCTGTTAGCAGCTTTATTATCTTTACATTATATTATAAAGGCTCATTAAAACAAACTTTATCCTGGCTCTTTCTGTTCTTTCTTTTCTCGCTGGCTGAAGCGTAAATCTGTTTCTGACACATTGTTTTGCTGATTTAACTTCTGACCGGAGCTTTGGACGTTTGGATGCTCTGCACAGAAGCGTGCGGTACCTACCGCGGCCAGCAGGGGGCACAAGAGCAATTTATTTATTTCATGTTTATCAATAAAATTAACATTTCTACATACATGATCAAATATATATTATTGTAAAAACAAATCAGTTCATGGTGAAATTGTGTTTTTGACATAATAACAGAATTATTCCAAAAATAAATATTAGCACCACTGACGGGCCCCTTGGTGGCCCGAAGCAGCTGCTTGGTTAGCTTCTGCCTTGGGCCGGCCCTGGCTGCAGTGATTCCCCTCAGAGTGAAGCTTGTCTGCAGCCTGTCTGCAGCTTGTCTGCAGCCTGTCTGCAGCCTGTCTGCAGGCTGTCTGCAGGCTGTCTGCAGCTTGTCTGCAGCCTGTCTGCAGCTTGTCTGCAGCCTGTCTGCAGCTAGTCTGCAGCCTGTCTGCAGCCTGTATGCAGCCCGTCTGCAGCTTGTCTGCAGCCTGTCTGCAGCTTGTCTGCAGCCTGTCTGCAGCTAGTCTGCAGCCTGTCTGCAGCCTGTCTGCAGCTTGTCTGCAGCCTGTCTGCAGCTTGTCTGCAGCCTGTCTGCAGCTTGTCTGCAGCCTGTCTGCAGCTTGT